CATTGGCCGGGTGTTGGCTGACCACTGACCTCCAGCTGCAAACCCCACTGAGCACAGCTCCTGGTCCTGCAACACTGGTGTCTACAGAGCCCACTACACACAGACCCTACCACCCAAACACCCCACTGCTCAGAGTCCATGCCTGCAGACCCCACTGCCTGCAGACCCCAGTGCTCAGAGTCCATACCTACATACACTGCTGCCCACAAACCCCACAGCCCACAGAGCCCAGTTCAGAGTCCATACCTGCAGACCCCACTTCCCACAGACCCCAGCGCTCAGTCTATATCTGCAGACCCCACTGCCCACAGACCCCAGTGATCAGAGTCCATGCCTACAGATCCCACTGCCCAGACCCCAGTGTTCAGAATCCATATCTGCAGACCCCACTGTCTACAGAGCCCACTGCCCACAGAGCCCGCTGCCCACAGACTCCACCACCCACAGACCCCAGTGCTCAGAGTCCGTGCCCACAGACCCAATTGCCTGCAGACCCCACAGCTCAGAATCCATACCTGCAGACCCTGCTGCCCACAGACCCCAGTGTTCAGAGTCCAAACCTGCAGACCCCACTGCCCACAGCCCCCCTCTCTGCAGACCCCCCAGCACAGACAGGTCCCCCTGCAGCCCCCATTCTCTCAGCTCACTCTCAGAGCAGATAACGCCCGCAGCGAAGCGTGTGCCCGTGTTCCTGCAGCTCAGGCTGGCGCCGTGGTGCTGGCAGTGGCTCAGGGACATCTCGTGGCCGGCGCACTTCACCCCGCTCATGACCATCTCTGTCACGTTGCTGGCGTCCCAGTACCACGTCTCCTGGCGAGGGGGTGAGGCAGGGTGGGTGCCAGGGCTGGTGGCTGGATTGCCCAGGATCACTTATACCCGGGCTGCAGCCAAGCCCCCCACCACAGCTGCCCACAGGGGTCCGTGTCCCTCTGTCCCCATCTGTCCCCATGCAGCCCCATGGTCATTTGGGAAGTGCTGGCCTCACCAGGGTGTCACCGGGGCCCTCCTCTCTGGCACCTACCGTCACAGCATGCAGGGAGTAGCCCAGGCCGAGCTGACGACAGGCCACCATGGCCTCCTTGGTGGTCCAGCCATCGCTGCAGACCGTGCCCCACTTACTGCCTCGCTTCACCTCCACGCGGCCCTCAAACTCTGTCCTCCCGCCGGCCAGGCGGATCTGCGGGGA